CTGGGGCTTCGTCACGTCCCGCCGGCCACACGGAAAACCCACCTGTCGTCGCCTTTGTTCCCCCAAGATGGCCCAAGATGGCCTCCAAGACGGCCACGATGGCCCAGGATGGCGTCCATGTTGCTCCAAGGCGGCCAAGATGGCCTCAAAGATGGCTAAGATGGCTCCAAGATGCACCCAAGACGGCCCAAGATGGCCTCAAGATGGTCTAAGACGGTCTCCAAGGTCCTCCAGGAAGGCCCGACGAGGCCAAAATCATTAATTTCCTTCGATGTTTGAAGGATTCTGGCATTTGCGCCTCTTCGGCTTCCCGACGGCCCAAGACGGTTCAAGAGGCTCCCAAGATCGCCTAAGAGGCCCCCAAGAGGGCCCCATGACTGCCCAAGTGGCCTCCAAGACGGCCCCAAAAGGGCCCCAAGACAGCCCAAGATGGCCTCCAACACGCCCAAGATGGCCTCCAAGACGCCCAAGATGGCCTCACAGACGGACCCGAAGCGCCCCAAGAGGGCCCGCCCCAAGTCGGCCCAGAAAGGCCCCCAAGACGGCTCCCGACGGCGTCAGACGTGCTAGGAACCCGCCAAGATGGCCGAAGTTGGCTCGAAGCTGGCCCAAGACGGCCCAAGAGGCCCCCAAGAGGGCCTCCAGGAAGGCCAGAAGAGGCCAAAAACCTTGATGTTCCTAAAGTGTTTGACGGATTTCGACACCTGCTTCTTTTCGGCCTTCCGACGGCCCAAGACGGCCCAAGAGCCCCCAAAGATCGCCGAATGATCGCCCAAAAGGCCTCCAAGATGGCCCCAATCAAGAGGCCCCCAAGACGGCACAGGAGGCCTCTAAAACGCCCAAGATGGCCTCCAAGACGGCCCTGGAGCATTCCAAGAAGGCCCCAAGTCGGCCCATAGAGGCCCCGCAAACGGATTCCGACGGCTCGATGTGCCTACTGCAGGTGTTCGGCCCCGAGGGCCGAACGAACTATACGCCGTACCATTCCTGGGTCGAGGATCGACGACGCCTAGGAGACGCCAACGCGGCGCGGTGCACACGAGCCGTCCGCGGATTTTGAACACCCTTGGTTATTTTTGGATCCTCTGGACCCAAGGAGGCGGGGCGGGAGCTGATCGGCATCGGAGAACCGCACCGCATGGCCGATACATCGGCGATGCATCCGCGACATCAAGATGCAGAGAATCGTACTGAGGACCGTGCCGCATCGCAATTTCATCGGCGATGCGGCGCGACCCTCGGGCCCCTGCTGTTCTGGCCCTGCTTAGGCGGTCTGGAACCTACTGGTGTCCCATCGGGGGGTCTCGGGCCAAATCCCCATTCCGCGCGAATCCATCCTGCATTATGCACGCCTCCGATGGGCGCGGCGCCAGCGCTAGAGAACGGAAATCCCGAGGGTGTCCTCGAGAGGGAGCCCCAGCTTCTCCTGCTCATCCATTCCTTTTCCTGGTAATGAAGAACTCATCATGTCGCACCCCAAGGCTGGTCGAAAGGACGGCTCATGCGTCTCGCCTGAAACTTCGTCACCATTTGCGATCCTGGATCTTACAATTCGCAACAATTTCACGGATTGAGGGCGGGTTGCTTTCAAAAGTTGGCTCTCGCCGCAGCGCCGCGCCGTGCTAAAAAGCTGCAGCAGTTTCACTGATTCAGGGGGGGTCGTTTCAGAAATGTGGCTCTCGCCTAAGCGCCGCGCGCATCCGACTTTCAACTTGCAGCAATGTCACGCGAATCTTTTCCAAAATGTGGATCTCGCTTCAGCGCCGCGCACATCCGCGTTCAACAGTTGCAGCAATTCACTGATGCAGGAGGGGCGTGTTCGAAATGTGGCTCTCGCCTTATCGCCGCGGACATCCGTCTTTAAACTTGCAGCAAATTGACGCGGGTCGTTTTTTTTTTATGTGGCTCTCGCCGTAGCGCCGCGCACATCCGTGCTAAACAATTGCAACACTTTCACAGGTGCAGGGCGGGTCGGTTTCGAAATGTGGCTCTCGCATTAGCGCCGCGCACATCCGTTCTAACAGCTTGCAACACTTTCAACGGTTCTCACTGTTAACGTCCCAGAAACTGTGTTTCGACACGATGACGTCGGACTGTCAGGGCGCAACATTTACGTTGACACGTGGCATTGGAATTCCGAGAGGGTCGTCAAGACGCAACAGTAACGGTGATCCGCGGCGCTGAGGCCCCAAGGATGGCGTTCTGGCACAATTCAAAAGTTTCGAACACTTGCTCGCACGGGAAACTTCCTTCAGTAAACATGAATCCTCGTAGGGGCTTCTGAAGAGGGAACTTGGAGTGAGGATCACTGGAACATCGTTGATGGGCCTTGGGCTTACACTGGTCCTCCTCATCCTCCTCATCCTCCTACCCCTCTGCATCCTCCTCATCCTCATATCTATCCGCACCCCCCTACTCTCCCCTGCGTTCCCCCCCTCCCGTTCCCATCTTCCCCCAGATTCCTCCCCCTCGCTCCCCCTCTCCCCTCCTCCTCCTCCTGCTCCTGCTCCTCCTCCTCCGTTCCTGCTCCTGATAAATAGGTTCTCCCGGTCGCACCCCGAGGCCAGTGCTTAGGGCGGGCCAGGCTTTTCGCATGAGACTTCCTCACCATGTATGACCCTGAAGCTTTAAACATGACAACAGTTTCACACGTGCAGGGCGGGTGGTTTTCAAAATGTAGCTCTCGCCTTAATGCCGCGCACAGTTTCTTTAGTTTGCAAGAGTTTCACGGATTGAGGGCGGGCCATTTTCAGAATGTGGCTCTCGCTTCAGCGCCGCGCACATTCGTTGTTAGTCAATTGCAAGAGCTTCACGGATTGAGGGTGGGTCGTTTCCAAATCAAACTTTGCAAGAGTTTCACGGATTGAGGGCGGTTCCTTTTCAATATATGACTCTCGTTTCAGCGCCGTGCACATTCTTTTACAAACTTTGCAAGAGTTTCACGGATCCCCATGATCAGCGTACCAAGAATTGTTGGAAGGATTCTGGATTATGAGGGCGCAACAGTTACGGGGATTCGCTGTGTTGAAGTCTCAGGAATGGCGTTCTGGCACGATTCAAGACCGTCAAGACGCAACAGTCAGGTTGATCCGTTGCGTTGGAATCCCGAGAACATTGTTTTGGCATGCTGCATGGTCTTCAAACGGTTGTCTTCCAACGAGGCAGTGCCATCAGTGGAAATGAACCGTTGTAGGGGCCTATGAAGAGGGAGCTTGGAGGAAGGGTTTATTCCAACATCGTTGATGTCTCTCGGGTTTCCACTGGTCCTCCTCCCCCTCCTCCAACAGCGGATGACGACGGCGAGGTTGACTACGGCGACGACGACGACGGCGACAACGACTGCGGCGACGAAGGCAACGACCAAGGCGGCGACGACGGCGACCACGTCATCCTCCCTCCCCTGGAAGGCGGTGTACATGGCTATACGTGACCCCAGGGGCCGAATCTAACCATATCCACCGCCCGCGGAGGTCCCCGAAGATCAATGCCCCGGGCGAAAATGTCAACGTTTTCGTGTTCGGCGTTCCGACATTGGGCGGAAGGGGGGGGGAGGGCGGGGGTCTGGCTCGGGACCTCAGCTGACTGCGGCTGTTTGCAGCTCGAAACAGGCGCCAAAAAGAGCCAAGATCTACTCCATAGGGAAGGGGGAGGTGGGGGGGTGCGAGGGCCCGCGCCGATAGGCAAAACAACGAATAAGAAAACGATCCCAATGATAGATGAACCACTGCCTCGGAGAAGGCGACGGCGGCTCTCCTGTCCGGGCCAAATCCGTTCAAGATCGGTCCCCGGGCCCCTCCTGACTCACTTCTGAGCGGATCCAGCCGGGGCGATGATAAGCCTCCAGGAGCGCCCCCCCCAAAAAACAAGAAACGCTGGGGAGAGCCAGCGTTGTCTGGACTGGCCCTCTCAGCCTCGGCGTTTCAGAGTTGATGAGGTGCGATGGTACCCTCATCGCAAGTGTCCTTGCGAGGCGCTTTAACGCAGCGGCCTAGCTGTTGTGGAGTCACGCGTCCACTGCTGGCGTCTAGTGTCTAGTCACACATTGCCCTCGCGTACCCGCTCACTCTATGCTTAATGTCCGCTGGCTCCCAGCAGGGCCCACGTGTACCCAAACATCCAGCGCTCCAATTTTTCCAATGCGTGGACCCAAGAGGTCTTGACCACTTCCCCAGGGCTGATTTTTCATCATGTCGCTGTTTGTCAGTCCTAGGCCCGGAGGCTGAACATAGCCAAAACCCGGCTGCCCAAGTTTTTTCAGAGCCTCGGATCTCTGGGTTAGTGGTGTCGTCCACCCCCCGTGTCATATACCCCTCTGTGGTCCGTCCCCGAACGACCCCTATGGGGCCCAGGGCGCCCAGGTGGGCACCCTGGGCTACCATATCGTCCAAGCCCGACGGCGCACGGAGGTGGGTACCCTGAAGGTCGATACTCCATACCCTAGAGGTCATACCAAGCCCAACATGAGAAAAAATCATACATATGAGTTCTGCGACGTTTTTTGGTTGGATGTGGGTTCAAGTCAAGCGCTAACTCCCAGGCAGTCCACGCAGGTTTCTGGATCGGCGCTGGACCCCCCACCCTGGCGTGCGGGGCGCGCCAAGGGGGCGCGCCAGGGGCGGCGCCAGCTGCGGCGCCAAGGAGGGGGACCCCACGCCGACCCAAGAAACCCGCGCGGACCTCCAAGAATTGGTGAGCATGCCGTCTGAAGGTGGCGGCATCCGAATCCCACCCCCGCCAACCATGAATTCTCCTGAATCGATGGGCGGCGGGGGTAGGGTTCGGATTTCGCCACGTGTTCGGCGAATTCCGAACCCTACCACCGCCGCCCATCGAATCGCCTGAATCGTGGATCGGCGAGGGTGGGGTTCGGATTCCGCCGCCGACGTGGGCTTGTGCAGTTGTTAGCCACTCGTCGGCCGAGGCGGTCCAGCCCCGAACAGCGCCTATGGCTGGCCACGCGGCGGCAGCTCGGCCGCTGGCGCGGCATGCCGTCGCCCCGCCTCGGCGTCGGAGGCCACGTCGACGAAGCAAACGCGGCAGTCCGGGTTCGGCCACCTCGGGGCCGACGACCGCACCCCCGGCGACGCGAGCGTCAGCAGAGGAAGGAGAAGAGGAAGCAGAATAAGGCGAAGGAGGAGGAAGAAGACGAAGAAGAACGAAGAAGAAGAGGAAGAGGAAGAGGAAGAGGACGAGGAAGGAGAATAAAAAGAAGGAAAAGGGGAAGAGGACAGGATCTGGCTCCAGGGAGAGGACGAGGAAGAGGAATAGATGGAGGGCAGGCTTGACCACCTCTAGACGGACGACCGCACCCCCGCGGGCCTCGCTGTCTTCGTCGGCGACGCCGACGCCAGCAGAGACAGAACAATAATAATAATAACAGTAATAAGAATAATATGAATAATACGAATGAGTGGAAGAAGGGAAAGCAAGAGGTATTAATAATAATGAAACAGAAGAGGAAGACAGAAGAACAAAGAAGAGAAAGAGGAAGAGGAATAATGAAGAGGACCTGGTTCAAGACATGTGACGTCCTGATCTTGTTCCAGGCGCGATCCCCGGAAGACCGGCTGTTTCCCCAAGGCCAAGTTCCATTTTTCCGACGGCACGGGAGCAACAATAGTTTCACATACTGTGATTGTACTGATGGACGCTGCCACGAGTGGGAGTGAGAAGGCCATGCCACGTCACACCACGGCCTCGGGCGACACCGCCAGCTCACCCGAAAATATTTTACATGTCTTGCTCGCCGCTGCAGCGCCTCCGAACTAGAAGGCTGCCTCGCGCCGTTGAAGGCCGCGCGCTGCAACGGCGCCGCGCGCAATTGGCGGGCGGTCAAGAATTGCACGTTGAAGGAAACCCTGAAACGAAACTGGCGCTCATCACGGGCCGAGGGCGGGTGAGCCCCTCGGGAAAATAAGAAGTCTGCGGCGTCATCGTCGGCTTCCCATCTTGCCGAATCTGCATTCATGGTGGTGTGGCCTGACGCAGAAGGAGATGGCGCCTGAGCTGGCGTCGGTGCTGGTGTAGATGCTGGGGGAGACTCGCCCTGGACGAAGGTTATGACGAGGTCCTCGGAAAGTGCTTCTACCAGACCGAGATCTCCTCTTCCAGCCATCCCGCTGGGGCGGGCCCCAGGTGGTGGGACGTCTGCCCCTCGGCCTGACGGCTATCTAGTAGCATGAGGCGGCCGTCCCAGCCTTTGATTCCCAGCGCTAACTTTGCGATGCTGGGGTCTGCTGTCTTGTTGACTCTGAAGAAGTGCACTTGGTCGTTGATCTGGTTCATGTCGATTGTCGGCTCGATATCCTGGTCCTTCGGCTGGCATTTCTCGAGGTACCAAGCGTTTGAGACCTTCTTTGTCCTTGGCCCATCGCAGGCCGTTGACCCTCTCGCGAAAACCCTCCAGCTCTTCCGTGATGTGGCCGATGATCGGGCGGGTGATCTTCATTGTGAACGTGTCTGCCACTGCGCACATCATCAGTCTGATCCGCTGTGTATTCTGTAATGTCGACGTCACGAGTGCCGTGAGCAACGAGTGGAGGTCCTTGTCCTTGCTCGTCCAGCTCTTGTCGGTGTTCTGGCCTCTGTGAGCTCGTCTGCCGCCCCTGCGGCGTCGCCGTCAGCCCTCTTCCTCCTCGGCCACTTCGCCCTCCATCGGCGCGCCCCCCGCTGCCTCTGCTGCCGGTGGCTGAGGCGCCACTGCCGTTGATGCCGCTGAAGCCCCCCCCCCCTGGCTGCGAGCCTTCCGCGGTCGCTGCGCTGGTCGTTCGCCGTCCTTGGATCCGCTGACATAGTTCCCAGACTCGGGCAATGACGGCGGGGGGGCCTCTCCACTCTACTCGAGGCGTGCGTTCCTGAGTCTGCTCCGCCATCTTGCAGCGCGCGATCGGGTGGCAGAAGTGGCTGAGGCAGGGCAGGCGTAGAGGCGAATGCACTCGAGGTGGCCGCCTGGCAGGCTGCGGACGCAGCCGCGTCCAACCCTGCACGCGCGAGCGCACGAGTCACAGTTGCCCGCCGAGTCCGCGCGGTGGCCGCTGCAGCAACGGCGCGAGGTGCGCCTCCGAGTAGTCTGTCTGCGGCGAGGCGGACTTCTCGTCTAAGTTGCGCGGCGTCGGCGGGCTTCCACACAGGCTGAGGTAGCTGTCGTGAAAGTGGCGCATGAACACGTCCTTGCGCAACTTGCGCGGACCGTAGAAGTCTCCTGAGCCAGGGGGCGCGCGGCGACGGAGGGACGCGCGTGCGTGAATGTCCCCAGAGGGCCTCGGGATCATGATACTCTCGCTGACAACCTGGATTAGGACTAATGCTTTCCAGGGGGGCATCTGGCGCTGGTAGACGGAACCCACGCGCGCGCGTGCAGCGCGCGATCAATGTAACATCTCCCTTCTATCCGAGATCATCGATGATGGTATTGGCAATAGCGGATAGAGCCATCTACATTGTCGCATACCAGGCATCAGTTATCGATAGTGATGGTCGGTAGCATGGTGGGAGCTCCATGTCCTGGCAGGGCGCCCGATGTCTGGCGTGTGACAAGTGCTGAAAACGTGCGGAATGCCCTTGTGCAGTACCTGGTGTTGCAGACGAACGGGTTCGGGCCCTCCGGGTCGCTGCCGGGGTCTCCAAGGGGCTCGTTCCAGGGCATGTGGAGGTACTCGGGAGGGGCCCAAGACTGAGACACGCATGCCTGGCGAAGATACCCGAAGTCGATCCTCTGGAACGCCTCCTGGACCTCGGAATTGGTGAAAAGCTCCTGGACGCTGCGGCTGATGCCATAGCAGGCTTTGAGTTCGTCTGAGACGGGGGCTTCAAGAGCACTCTGACGGTCCCGTCGGAGTTGGCGGGCCCAAGGGCGCACAGATGGGTCGGCGTCGAGGGCCCCGTTAGGCAGCAGAGTAGGAACAGAAGTAGGTGGGCTCTGAGCGGCAACCCAGTCGTCAATCTCGCAACGTCCGAAGAAACCCGCCAAAAACTGGCCATGGTGAAGAGCGTCGGAACTGAGGGTTTGCCACCATTGGAGCCGTCGCACGCAGGGCCCCAGGGAAGCGGGGGCGATGCCCCAGACGATGAAGAATTCTTTTGTAGTCAATGTTGAGCGCTTGCCATCGTTATCAACATCAGGAGATTCTCCAAGCAGCATGCAACGCATCTTTTTTGCCGGGTTCGCGTCGACGCGCGCCGTCTCTGCGCGCGCGAGGGCCAGGGCCTCCAGGCCTGACCGCGCGCGGCCCGCGATGTTCGCGAGGTAGACGAGTCTTGCGCAGCGTCTTGGCGTGGACGATTTCCAAAAAATATTCATCCGTGTCCAACAAATGTTGCAAGCACGAATTCGCTCCTCGATCTCGCGCACGTTGTAGCCGTCGACGTAGATGCAGGCACCGAGGCGGAAGATGTTCGTCATGCATGTGCCGCTGAGCTGCTGCTCAGCCTTCTTTGCAGCTGCACTGGTGGTCAGTCGTGCGAGGGTCTCCTGCTTGTCGACGTTTCGGCCGCACGCGCCTTTCTGCAACTTGGTATTCCATATGGAGACGCCAATGCAGTCAATGGCAAGTGCCTGTCGTAGTGCGCCGTCCAGAACGATGAGAATACGGATAAGATCGAAAATACAAGCACACATACCAATACGATGTGTTTTGCCCGTGGTGAGGTTGGTTGCTGCCATGTCGTCTCCAAGTACATCTGTAAGCCCTTGATCCAATTCGATGATCAGTGGATAGAAGGATTCCATGACAAGCTCGGGCTCGTTGCTGTCGCCCACGCGGCCTCCGCTCTGGGGGCGAAGGCCAACTATCGCGTCGCTAGCGTCGGTTCTCAATGTAGCCCTCGTCCGATGTTGCGTAAGCATATCCTCGTAATGCTCGTCCTCAGTACGTACTTGATGGGCTGCGAGTAGTCGTCGTGTGCTTCCTGTGCCGGAGGCGTTCCGCATGTCGTCACTCTTCGCTAAGTGGGGAACGCGTGCCATGCGATGCTTGCACGTAGCGATCCTACTCAACAGCATTAAGGACTTACGCCTGCGGGCACGGATGCCACGACCTGCCCAGGGAGTGGGTTGGCAGCTACCGCCGAAATCGATCATCCCAAATCGTAAGTATCGCCGCCAGAATGGACGGAAAATGTGCAACATCCTGAGACAGTGGTTCAAATCATGGACTGGATCTCCACGGGGTTCTCTGCCTTTCCTTGCAATTGTCACTGTCTGACCGGCACGTGACTGCACAGGAAGGGCTACCGAATCGCGCGCGTGCGCAAGCAAATGTATGAGCATAATTTTTGGTGCGTGGCACTGGTCAGCGTCAAGATTCAGTCGGCGTTGATCAGGTCGTCGAGTCTTGTGTCTGGCTACTGATAGGTCCCGTGCATTTCGGTCCGCAGTCGTCACTTCCAGTCCAAGACCATGTCGGGGGGGATGTACTATATACTGATAGTCCGTCGGTTCATATCCAATGCCGCTGCGGGGGGGTCCAGGTCGGCTGAGGTACTTGGGGAAGATGAGCACACTCGTGAGTTCAATTGGCCATGACAAGACGAGCGAATATTTGCTGTGTTTGGTGTGCCATATGCGCTTGCTCATAGCCTCCAAGTCCTCGGCTGCGTCGGGAAGAGATGCCGCCGTTGGGTTCGCGCGGTACTCGCCGACAGGCTGTATGTCATTCCCGTCGCGATTGTGGAAATTCTCGATGGCCTTTTAGTTCTCGATGTAGATACGAGTTTGTGCAGGGGCCGCTGCAAGGCCGCCGCCAATGACATCTTTGCCCAGGGCGTCCATGTAGTGGGCAGCCGTCAGTCGTACACTGGGGAAGGCGAAGTAAGTGCGTTTCTTCGGGCCAGCGCGGGTGCCTGCACGAAGCCGGCTGCGCTCTGCAACTCGAGAAAGGTCGCGTCTGTGGAAGGCCTCGGTGAGCTGCTTGCCGATAGATTGGTTCCACCAGGCCTGCTTCCACTGGGTATGTTCGCGTAGCTTCCGCGCAATGTCTCTGAGTAATGCGCTGTCAACTGCCATGCCGCATTCTCTGGGTCGTGCGCGTACTTTCAGTCAATCGAGGAGTTGCTTCTGTGCTTCTCGTATCCATTCAGGTCGGCCTCGGTGTGTAGAGTCGTGTGGGATAGCCGCGCGTCGGATAAGATAAGATACGTAAGCGGCATGGCGATCGGGTCGTTGGTCATACTGGATAACTCGTAGTTTGTGTCGGCTCGCTTCGATAAGCTCGTGAAGGTCATGTAAAAATTAATATCGTTTGTATCCTGTCTGTAGTCCTGCTGCGATGTAGGCCCAGTCCCATATGGGTGCATGGTCGGTTGAACTGGGCGACGGACATGCCTTTCGTATGTGTATCATCATCGGATTATGATCCTTCATGTGCGGTAGTACTCGTAAGCGCTGATGCGATCTCCAGCACCGTTGAATATTGCTGATGGCAGGTGATGCTTCTGGCGGCCCGATCCAATAGTCCATTCTACTCTGAGCGCCGCCGTCGCCGTAGAACGTGGGGCCAGTGTCCCAGAAACTGTTATAGGCAGTGGGCGAGTGTGACAATAGTGCTTCGTGTACTGTTGCTCCCACGGTCGTTTCTGCGGCAGGTTGGTATGGGCCGACGCCGTCGTCAACTCGTGATGCTCGTTGTCGTCGTCCTGGTCCTCCATTCAGGTCGCCAAAGAATAAAGGTGTGGTTCGTGCTGGACATGATTGAAACTCAGATAAGATCCATTTCCATAGTCGATGGCATGTCTGCTCGGTGAACTTAGCGTTGCTGCTGTGGGGGACGGGCGGGAAGTATCCGACGATAAGTCGTATTCGGAAGTATCCGCGAACAATATCTACTGAGCCTCCTCGGCCTTGTATTGGGGGGGATGCAACGCGTACTAGGTGTTCAGGTCGAAATATGTGCTTGTTAATGGCCACGGCGCATCCGCATGCTGAAGTGAGGTGTGGGCTGCGTTTCCATCCCCAGTGGACCCAGAAATGATGTGTGGTATCTTCTCGGTGATGACTGCGATTTGCTTTTTGCCGCACATGTGTACCAGGGAATAATAATCCATACTGCTGTCGGAACTCATAACTGATGGCTTCCACTCGGCCTGGAAAAAGTGTTAGAGAGAACGGGGTCCATCCAATGAACTTGGCTGTCCCTCCGCCGTAAGAGGCGGGAATGAGGATACGCTGTTCCTGGTCCATGTCGTGCGGCGTTGTCTGCTGTGGGTGCACGTCGTCCCGCTGGTGTCCGTAGTGGGTCTCCTCCATCTCGTGCGAGATGCGCCGCCTCTCACCTGCGGCGCACACGGAGCGCACGGCCGTGGACAGGCACCATGGCGGAGGGGCTGCGCGGGATGTGCAGCTGGGGGGGCGTAGGAGTGCAAGGCCGATGCTTAAGAGTAGCTCGAGCATGTCGTGGCCTTCCAAGGCCAGGGCAGAACGTTGCATGTCTGGAGACAAGATCTGATTGGGGCCGCTCGAGGGCCGACCTGCCTGGGCTCTCGGTTCCCGCGCGTGCCTCGCCGACGGCTCCTGGCAGGCCTGCGCTACCCGAAGCGGCAGGAGGGTGGCTCCCGTCGGGCCTTCTGCTGCGTGTGGCTGGTTTTTGTCCCCGCCGCCAGGCGCTTCTCAGCCTTCCAGCGGCCCTTCTTCAGCCCCAAACCCAAGCATGCAACGTCCTGCAAAAATCAGATCGGGAAATGGATCACCTTTCGGCCAATGGGGGCCCTTGGGGCCTCGGGCCCGTCAAACAACCACTCGGGACGAACAGGAACTGCCCGGGTAAGAATGTCAGGACTTCCGAGGACCGCGTATTGAAAAATGAAGACATCACATGTCCGAGGAAAAGGAACAGGAAGAGGATCGATGATCCTCATTCAATTTTTTTGCGCCAGCGTTGCCTGTGAACAGAAGCCCTCCAGCACGACGCCACGACGCATGCAGCGCAACAAAGGACAAAACACGGGCTGCGCACCGTCGGGAGGAAGAGAACGAGGGAACCGGAGCACCAAAAGTCGGGGAGGCAAAGATCGGGCGTTGTCAGAACTGGGTTTAGTGGGACCTGGTCTAGTCATGTGTACTGGGGGGCGCCCCCAGGCCCCGTTCCACTAACCGGAACTGCCGTCACCCGAAAAAAACACCAGCTACGGCAGACCTGGTTTAGTAATTCTGGCCAGTTCAGGGGCTCCGGGGCCCTACCACTAACCGGGCCCCCTTACCTGGGGTCCTGGCCATACCCGACAAGAAAGGAGAGGGAGAGGGCCGAGGCTGCGGTGGGGAAACAAAAAGGTAGCCATGCCGCTACTCCCCAGACCTCTCTTGGGGTGCGTTCTGGCCGAGGCGAATCTGGCGGTGGCGACGAGGATCCCAGGAGGTCCAAGAGTGGACAACGAGGGGAGGGCAGCGGTATCGGTGCCTTCCCCTCCCCTGACAAAAAGAGACAGAGAGAGAGAGAGAGGGCCGAGGCTGCGGGGGCCTGAAGCCCGGGATCGGCGGCAGCGAGCCGTCGTCGACGGCGTTCACCAGCTGCGAGCCGTAGAAGGCCTCTGCGACCACACGCCGCGCCGCGGGCAGGCGGGCGCCCCAGGCGGGCTGCGGTGTGAGGCTGCGGGCCCGCCTCGGGGCGGAAGCACTCGCGGCCCCGATCGTTCAAAAGTGAATTCCGTCGGGTCCAGTGGCGTTACCGCGACCCTCGGTGCTTCCGCGTCGCAGAACTCAACCTGAACGCCTTCGCCAGCGTCGCCGGCGCACCAACGCCACATGAACCTACAGTACCACGCTTCGTCCCCCGAAGAAAGCCTGCACTGAAGGGCTCCGACTTGTGTCTCTGATGAGTTGGAAGAGTCCGGCGAGGCTTCGCCCCGGCGCCGCCCGTTGCCGCCTCGTTGCCGCCTCGTGCGCTGGGTGGGTCCGGCGATGTCTCGCCCCAGTGCCGCCCGTGGCCGCTTCGTTGCCGCCTCTGGTTTGCACCACTATATACAACTTACACCACATAGCCTGCGTCACATAGCTTACACACTGGGTGCAATAACTTCTTGATTGGGATCTACCGGGTAACAGTATATATTTGAAAGCATAAACATAGGCACAACTACCTCGAAATGTGTACACATGCATGATTCACCGGCATGACTGGGTCCAGAACCGACGGGCCAAGTGGTAAGGTCCATCCGCACCGCCCAATCCCGCCGCGAACTGACTGCGCCCATTTCTACGCCTGGCCCCTGGAAGCACGAAGAACGTTGCATGCACTGGCCCAGGATTCTGCCTGCCATGCATCGCATTGGCTGTGCAGCCGGGTCGCGGCTATATGCCTTCCTGGCACGACTTGATCCTGACGTGCAGGCTCTGTGTTTGTTTACCTCCGTGCCCGATCCACACTTGGGAATGCAGAGGCGAAATCTCTCTTTACAGATACTGGACCTGACCCGAATTATAAACGCTAAACTAAAGAGGCCCGTCACCTCGTTGCAGACGACAGCTGTCCGGTCCTTGAATTCAAGACTGAGCCTTCATACCGATTCCGAATCCGACTCCGACTGCTCCCCACAACTTCCCCCCCCCTCCCCCTCCCATTCCCACCGCCTCATCATTCTTGTTCGCCGCCGTGCCCCCTGGCACGTTGAGGCGTGGAACAATGCGAAGGTCTGTCTGGTAGGGTTTCAGGGACCGCCCCTCCATCCAACAGCAGACTCTTGCGTGCAACGCCCATCCTTCTCGAGGCCACCTCCCTCGTGTCCGCTCGAGGGCGGCACACTTGCATGGCATGCACGCTGTGCACTTCCTGCAGGGCAGCTAATGGTTCACGCCCCCTTCCACGCGTGACAGCTCGAGAGTGATGCACTTCCCGCATGGCAGCTAATGTATGAACCCTGACTACATGCGCGCCCGCTCGAAGAATGCACAGTTCGAACATGGCTGCTACATCGTATACCCTGATCACAAGCGCACCCGCTCGAAGATCGTGCACGCCCCGATTTCCCAGGCACTGCTCCCAAGCGCCCCAGGGCCTCCCAAACCACGATCCTTTTGATAAAAAGGATGGATGCGCGCCCCGAACTCCCAAGATGACCCGCGCAGGCAACCGAGGCCACCAAAATGGCCCAAGATGCCTCGACAACGGCCCAAAATAGCCCCAAGGCGGCCGAATACTGCTTCAAAACAACCCAAGATGCCCCCAAGAGGGCCTAACAGGGCCACAAGAGGACCTCCAACAGGGTCCGAAGAAACCCGAATCGTGGATTTCTCGTAGCGGCTTGATGCGTTCTCGTTTTTATTCGGGCTGCCGTCAGCCCAAGACGGCCCACGAAGACTCCACGATGGCCAAAAAGCATTCAAAACGGCTCCAAGACGGGCCCAAGAATGCCCAAGAGGGCCTCCCGCGGGACCCGAAACGGCCTTTTTTCAAGGCCCCTTGGACGGCCATAGACAGCGCCAACACGGCCCCACGACGGCTCCCAGACACCCACCATACGGCCCGGCCACGAGGGCCCCAAGACGGCCCAAGAGAACCCCAGACCGGCGTAACAGGGCCCCAGGACGGCCCAAAAAGGCCCAAAGAGACCGCCAAGCCTGTCTTGCAGGAGGCCACGGCAGCCCCAGGACGGCCCGAACGAAGTTACTCATCACAAATATCACCACCAACACAATCATCATCAACATCAGCATCACCAGCATCATCATCATCATCGTCATCATCATCATCATCAGCAGCAGCAGCATCATCAGAATCATCATCATCACCAGCATCAGCATCACCATCATCATCTCATCATCATCATCATCATCATCATCAGCATCATCATCATCATCATCATCGTCATCATCATCGTCGTCATCATCGTCATCATCATCATCATCTTCATCATCATCATCATCACCATCACCAGCATCACCATCAAGATCACCATCATCATCAGCATCATGATCGCCACCACCACCATCATCATCAGCCTCGCCATCACTGAACATGATTTGGGGATCCGACGGTGGTAGTCCAGAGAGCCATTGCTACTCGTGCGCCACAGGGGGAAATTCTGCAAAGGCAAAGTTGCGAAACCAATCCAAACAACACTGGAGAACAAAAGTCGGGAAACCGAACTTTCGCACGAACCCCGCGCGCGAACGCCATAACACTCGGACCAACAACACGCGCGCAACCCGCCCTCCCCAGACTTCGACCCGCAACTCCGAAACGCCACGCGCGAACTGAATCCATTCAAATACTACGCCGCTGCGGTCAAGGCCCTGCCCCTGCAAGCGACGCACGCAATCTCCCCGAGGACCGCGGGGCGCCCAGGATCTCTCGGCCGACGCGCCCGCGCCCCCCTTGGGGAACCGATTTGCGGGGCAGCTTGGCCGTTGGCGCACCAGGTCTTCTGGGCCACCAAGTCGCGCGAGGTGGACTGCCAATCGCAGCGCAACTGGGCCACTGGACCTGCGCGCCGCTGCGCCGCTGGGCCGCGAGGCAACGAGACAACCGGGCCATGGGAATTCGGCCAGTCTGCTCTTGGGCCAGGCCCGCCAGGGCAGCGGACCACTTGCCCAACGGGCCGTTCACCGCTGCGCCATCCCCCCCCCCCATCCCTGGAGCAGGGCCCCCGGGCAAATGCCCTTCTGGCTCGCCGTGGATCAATAGACCCCGTGCCCACTGGGCAATTGGCGCACTGGGCCGCTAGGCCACATGGCCGCTAGGCCACATGGCCGCTGAAGCATTTCTGCAGCGGGCCCCCGTGCCGGAATCTGCCACAGAACCAAGGCCCACCGCCTGCCGCTGCAGCGCATGAGCGGGGCACGCGGCGCGGTGCGCCATTCTGCCGCTGAACTGGCGGGCGCCGCTCCACTGGGCAATCGCGCCGCGGCGCCAGAGGGGGCAACTGAGAACCAGAGTTTGGGCCGTTGGGCCACTCCGCCTGTTGGTCAGGCACATCGCGATGCGCTGCCAGGGCGGCCACTGGGCGACTGGGCCACGGCGCCACTGGGCCGCTCGGGCGATAACCCCTTGGGCGACAGAGCCAGCGCGACACGGGGCTGCTGGGGCGCCTGGCAGGCGCGGCCGCTGGACTTCTCGGCCGGCGGCCCACGCTGCGCCGCTCGCCCCCCGGCCGCTCGGCATGTCGGGCGCAACTCGGTTCGCGGGGGTAGCGGGTCAGAGGGGCGGGGCAGGCGGGCGGCGGGAGGGGGGCGCCGAGGGCGCGGGCCACGAAACAGGCGCATCGAGAGGACGCTCGGCCACTCGGCCGCTGGGGTAATTAGCCACTGCGACGTTGGACCAGCGCGCCAGGTTGCCAGCGGCGGGCAGGGAGGGAGTCAGACGCGCAACTGCACCCCCTGGCAACCGCGCAACGCGTCATCGACTGGCAGCGCCAATGACACCATGCCGATCAGACAGAAAACCAGCAAAGGAAATGCGCCACTGGGCCACCTTGGCAATGGCGGAATTGCGCAACTGGGCGACGGGGCGGCGGGCCGTCGGACAATATGGCCACGCGGCCGCCGAGACACTGAGACGCCGATCGCAGGCCACATGGGCAACGCGGATATCGGCGACACAGCGCGGGGGAGAGGGGGCGCGCGGATTCGCGGCGACCAAACGCGCCGAGCGGCTCGCCGTCGCCACTGGCGGGGCACCGAGCGGACGCGTCGACCCAGGCCAACTTGCGCGGCGCGGCGGACGCCCAGAAACCTCGCGGCACCATGGCGTGGATCAGGGGCGGAGGGGCGGGGAGCTCTGCGGAAATTTCCGCGACGGCGGCAGGCCGCGCGGCGAGGGGGGGGAAGGGGGCGCGCTGCGCCGAATCCATGGACGGGGGCCAGCGAGTCTCGCGGTTCCCCGCGGGCGACGGGCGCAGCGTCGACGGCCGGGAATGGCGCGAGAGCCCGGGCGGGGGCCCCGCGGCGGGGGCGCGCCCGGTGTCGGGCGCCCCAGCCTCGCAGCGGGGTCGAGCGACCCGCGCGGGGCAATCAAAATCACAGACACAGACGGGACCCCGCCGATCGGGTCGCCCAACAACAACAACAACAACAACAACAACAACAGCAGCAGCAGCAGCAGCAGCAGCAACAGCAACAGCAACAGCAACAGCAACAACAACAACACCAACAACAACAACAACAACAACAACACCACCACCACCACCACCAACAACAACAACAACACCAACAACAACAACAACACCACCAACAACAACAACAACAACAGCAGCAGCAGCAGCAGCAACAGCAACAGCAACAGCAACAGCAACAGCAACAACAACAACAACACCAACAACAACAACAACAACAACAACAATCATTTAAGACTGGGGACACTCCGTTCTCACCAGTGCCAGGGTTTTCATAGGAGGCGGGCAATACCCCCACTTTGTGGGGGGGCCGGTTCAAGCTCTACCAAATTTCCAAACGACTCTTCGCCACCACCCACACCCAGCTTCCCGCCCTATGACGTTCGGACACTTCACTTCGTGGCATGCGGACGACCGTGGCTACTATTCAGGGCCCCGCGGCCGACGACGACGGCGTGCGCGCGCGAAGAAAAAACGAAT